AGGGAAGGACATCAGGGGAGCAGGTGATGCGGTTCCCCCTGACGGACAGACTCACGGCTGGCCAACAACGGCATGCCCGAGTCCATCCAGCGGCTGCACTGCCGAGCCAACTACCGTGCCTTGCGATACACAGACACCATCTCCCGCGTTGCCAGCAACCTGGTCGCCCGGCTGAGGAAGCTCGGTCCCTACATCGCCCTGCACCTGAGGTGTGTGCAAACACGCACTTCACTGGTAGGGAGCACGGTAGGGAAGGACATCAGGGGAGCAGGTGATGCGGTTCCCCCTGACGGACAGACTCACGGCTGGCCAACAACGGCATGCCCGAGTCCATCCAGCAGCTGCGCTGCCGAGCCAACTACCGCGCCCTCCGGTATACCGACACAATCTCCCGCGTTGCTGCCAATCTGGTGGCTCGCTTGAGGAAGCTCGGGCCGTACATTGCATTGCACCTGAGGTGAGGAGATAGGGAAGGGTTGGGTCGGGGTATGACTCAGGTGTGTGCTTGGGTGGGGTTGTTCTCGTGATATGCAAGCTTACAGGCTACAGCTACAGCACGCACTGCAGTGTGTGATCAGCTGAAGGCTTCACGAAACTCCGTAAACTTGCTTGAGAGCACAGTCGAGAGGGAAGAAAAGCAGAAAGTCAGGTACGCATGCCCACTCACGCCCAAGGAGACCACGCTGTTCCTGTGGCGCTTCTATGAGAATCAATCCCTGCTGATCTCCTCCCCTCCTCCCAACTCTCCCCGTCGTTGCTTTTTCCTGCAGGTATGAGAAGGACATGTTGGCGTTCACAGGGTGCTAAGGGGGTTGATAGTTGATCTGAACTCATTATTCCCCCCCACCCTGCCCTCTCACCCATCCAGGTACGAGAAGGACATGCTGGCGTTCACAGGCTGCGACCACAGGTTGAGCCGGTGGGAGAGTGGGGAGCTGATGGCTGATTCCGTTTCCCCTCTCCCTCCCCACTTCCAACCCCCACCTTTCCTCTTTCCCGCAGGTACGAGAAGGACATGCTGGCGTTCACAGGGTGCGACCACGGGTTGAGCCGGTGGGAGAGTGGGGAGCTGAGAGCGATGCGGCTGAACAACTCGCGGTGGAAGGAGAAGGACACCGACGGGGAGGCCCGGCGCAAGGAGGGCGCGTGCCCCCTCACGCCCAAGGAGACTGCTCTGTTCCTGCGGCGCCTCTAGAATAATCAATCAACCCTTGCTGATCCCGTTTCACCTCTCCCTCACTCCCAACCCCCTCCTTCCTTCTCCAATGCAGATATGAGAAGGACATGCTGGCGTTCACAGGGTGCGACCACGGGTTGAGCCGGTGGGAGAGTGGGGAGCTGAGGGCGATGCGGCTGAACAACTCGCGGTGGAAGGAGAAGGACATCGACGGGGAGGCCCGGCGCAAGGAGGGCGCGTGCCCCCTCACACCCAAGGAGACCGCGCTGTTCCTGCACGCCATGGGGTTTCCTAAGAAGACGTTGATCTACATCGCTGCTGGAGACATCTACGGCTCTAAAGGCCTCTCGGTAAGGAGACGAAATGGAAGCTATTTGGTGTGCATCGAGGTGAGTAATATAATAGTATTAGAGGATGCTTGTCATGCCCCCTCGTGCCAAGGAGCCCATTCTGTTTCTGCATGCTGTGGGAATCCCTAAGAAGGCGTTGATCTACATTCCTAGAGTTCTCTCGGTGAGGAGAAGAGGAGGAGGATGCTTGTCATGCCAGCTCACGCCTGGTAAGCAGACAGTGCTGTTTCTGTGTGCCATGCCATGAGGACACCAGGTCATTTCTTACGTTTTCTGTTCTCGTCCCTGCCTTTTTGCCCTTTTGTTTAACCCCCATCCAACGCCTTCCCCTCGCCAGGAGCTGACGCGCTACTACCCCAACACGTTCACGCACTCAACTTTGGCCACCCCAGAGGAGCTGGCGGCGCTGGGGGGTTATCAGAACAGGCTGGCAGCGGTGGACTACACAGTGGCCGTGGAGAGTGACGTGTTTGCATACACGTATGAGGGCAACATGGCGAGAGCCGTGCAGGGGCACCGGCGGTTCGAGGGGCACAGGAAGACGATCATCCCTGACAGGTAAGGGCAGCAGGGAAGTAGCAGCGGATGTTGATGTGTCTGTATAAACGTGTAAGGGGAATATTGCACTCCCCTTGTAACACTCCTTAGCCCCCATACCCCCCAACCAGGGAGGCGGTAATGCAGCTGCTATACCAGTTAAAACCTGGCGAGATCACCTGGGACACAGTGCGCAACCACCAATCCCCAATGATTACCGCGATGCCTGACCCTCGACTTTGTAATGTCCCTTTGCCCCCACATATCGCCCCAACCAGGGAGGCGGTGGTTCGGCTGCTAGACCAGTTCAAAGCGGGCGAGATGACGTGGAATGCAGTGAGGAAGGAGATCAGGAAGCAGCACAAGGGGCGTGTTGGGGGGCCTCACCAGCGGGAGGCGGGGGAGAATCCGAAGCTGGAGGAGAATTTCTATGCGAACCCCATGCCGGGGTGTATGTGCGAGGTGGAGAGGCAGCCAGGCAAGGCGGTGAAGGCTTGCCGGATGGAGGGCGGGCAGAGGAAGTGCAGGGAGGTTCCCAAGGAGGAAGAGGCGTACATCTAGATTATCTAGTGCAGCTGAGCGATTTGCAGCAGGAGGCATGACTCTGAGGGGGGACTCAAAAGGCTGGGGAGCCGGGTTTGAAGGGGGAGTTTTTATGGGAGGCCAATGAGGAAGAGGTCAACTTGTAGGATAACTCAATGTGCTTTAAAGGGGATAGACGGGGTAGGGGGGTTTCTGGTTGGTATGGGTGGGGGGCTTGGGATGAATTGCGGTCAGGGAAGCATATGGTTCACAAGACGATTCGTGAGGAGGGGAGTTTTTTAGCCAACTGGAGTCCCAGCAAAAAGCCTGAACAGTCGCAACTTAATAAGTGTGGTTGCCTTCACGAGTGGATTGGGCTACGTGGCATGACCTTGGGAGCAGAGAGATGAACATAGGGGCCTGAGATGAGATTCTGTCATGTTCATAACTGGAGCAATGGAGCGGTGGTGCTCCAGGTGTAGCTAACTGGCTGGCTGGCTGGCAGGCAGGGCTGGCTCTATGTGTGGACTCACCACCAGCCATTGACCGGCATTTATTCAGTAATGCCTCTCTCTGTTTGCATGATGGTGAGAGTGCGAGTGCGAGTACAGGCAACGCATTGCTGTGATTTCCTTCTTTGCCTTGATTTCACTCTGAGACTGCATGACTTGCTCAATCGCGCCTCACCATACTACCTGTAACACTCCTGCGTTGACTGCCAAGGGTGTATCTATGTGAAAGTGTCCTGATTCAGCTCAGTCTTCTCCGTCAGCAGCTCCTTGCACCACTGGTTACGATCCCATATTCAATATGCCCATCTGGTCTGACCATCACCCAACTGCGTTGCTAGCATCCATCCATCCCCTCATTGTGTTGGGTGTAATCTTGTTAAAAGTCAGAATTCCATAATGCCTTTTGCAAGGTGTTGAAGCGTTTTATTGAATGGGATAACTTTACTGTACTATGCCTCTGAGGGGCGTCTGCAAGTTCGGTGATTTGGTTAAGCTCGTTTCCTCACGTTTCTACGCGGTACCACGCGAAAGAGGCTCGGTTTATTGAGTTCAGCTGGACGCAATCCCCAAGAAGCTCGGTTCATTTGCACAAGAGTGAACAAACACCACCTTTGCCGTAGCACCTCTCATTTCCGAAGAAGCATTTGCCAAGGCATAACATCTGTTACTCCCTTCATTCCGGTCACTTTTCATATAATTAGACCACTGATTTCTTTTTGTCAGTGGTTTTAAATGAAGGGTGCGGAAAGGGAGGTGCAGATTCAGAGGGAGGGGAGGTCGGACGAGGAAGGAGACTGCGGGCGGGGTAGACGACGGGAGCGACAGGAACGCAGGGAGAAGCGAGTGAAAAGAGGCAGTGAGAATGGAGAAAGCGGGAGTGAGAGTGAGAGTGACAGAGAGAGTGACAGAGGGAGTGACAGCGGAAGCGATACCAGCAGGAGCCGTGACAGGGAGACGAGAAAGAAGGCTAGGCATGGCGGGAGTACGAAGAATAAGGAGGAGCGTGAACTTCGGCGGCGTAGGCGAAGCCGAAGTAGGAGCAGGAGTGCTAGCGGCAGCGACTCGGATGACCACGATAAGCGGAGAAGTTTAAACGGCAAGAGCAGGAGGCGAGATGCTAAGGGGAGCAGAAGAAGGAAACGAAGCTTGTCCCGTGAAAGAAGCAGCAGCGGCGGCGGCAGCAGTGGCGGCACCGACGATGAGGGGAAGGGTCATGAGGTGGAGAGAGGAAAGAAGCGGTGAGGGTTTGCCCGCGCAGGTTTCTAATAAATTCGTCTGTTTCTTACGCGGTTCCTGCATTGTTACGAACACCTTTGAATTTTCTCCAAACCCCGCTCAAAATTGTTTGTGTTTTCTTCTGAACACCCACCCCTCCCAATGGTTTTTGCCCGCCTCCAAACCTCCTGCTCCATCTCTGAGGCGCTTCAAAACCGAACACCCATCCTTCCTCTGATTTCTGGCCTTCTCCAAATTTCCCGCTCCATCTATCACAACAGGCGAAAACATACAAAGGACAAGGCAAGCAGCAGTAGGAGCTCTAAGAAATCAAGGGGGAAAAGGAAGAAGAGGAGGAGGGAGGATGAGGATGATTCCAACACATCAGATGATGGAAGCAGGGATGAAGGAAGGAGCAGCAGTGACATCAGCAGCAGCAGCAGTAGTAGTGATAGTGATGACGATAGTGAGAGCAGTGACACTGTAAGCGGTAGTGATAGTAGTGAAGGGAGTGATAGCGAGGACAGCAGAGGAGAAAAGCGGAGGAAGAAGACCAAAAAGAGGAACCGGAAAGGCAGGAGAAAAAAGGCGGAGAAAGGGAAAAAGGAGGAGCGGAGGAAGAGGGGGAAAGACAGAAGGAAAGACAGGCACAAAAAGAGGAAAAAGCCCGAAGGCAGCAGAAAGGAAATGGGGAACGAGGGAAGCCAAGGAGGGGTAGGAGGGAAGCTGCCTAGCAGCGCGGTGCTACCTGGGAATGCGATGCTGGCGAATGAAGCAAATGGGGCAGCAGGGGCGGATGATGACGGGCGCAACGACCTGAAGAAATCTTTTAATGAGATGCATGTCAGATTCTCTCCTTCCCACCCCCCCTTACTCCCGCTTCTGGCCCTCCTTTTGTTTGAGTCGACCTGAAGAAATCATTCAATGAGATGCATGTCAGATGCTCTCTTTGCTAGCCTCCTCCCCTCCCCCCTTCCCCTCCCTCCCCCCCCCTCCCCGCTCCCCCCCTTACTCCCGCTGCTGGCCTGGCCCCCTTTTTGTTTGTGTCGACCTGAAGAAATCATTCAATGACCTGCATGTCAGATTCTCTCTTCGCTCCATCCCCTTACTCCCACTTCTCGCCCCTTTTTCGAGTTGACATCAAGAGATAATTGAGTAAACTGCATGTCAAGTTCTCTCTTTGCTACCCCACCCCCCCCCCCCCCCCCCCTTACTCTTCTATCCTTCCTCCACCTAATTCCCCCTCTCTACGGACCCCCCCTTTTCCACGCTTACCCCTTCGACTCCTCCCCTGCCCCCCTCCTCCCACCCGCCGCCTTTCTCGTCTCCCATCATCCCATTCTTTTCATCTTCGCATCTTTTGCATATGTTTTTCCTTCTCGTTTCCATCGTCAGGACGTATCGTCTCGTTGTTTACTTCTCTGTGTCATCTCCCGATCTGCCTGTCTCTCCAGGCGCGCATGATGGGAGCAAAAGGAGGTGCTTTGGCAACGGGCTGGTATTTCTAGTTTACTCAAAAGCATTTTCTATCTTTTTTTCTGTATCATCAACTCCTGTGTGCGTGTCATGCCTCTCCAGGCGCGCATGATGGAGCAGGTGGAGCAGAAAGAGGTGCTCCGGCAACGCGCAAAGCATGCAAAGGTACCACCATCCCCTCTTTGCTGTTTTTGCTGTTTTCCTTGAAAAGACGGGAAAAAAATGCACGTATTACGCGCATCTGTACGCGATCCCAGCTAGTCAGCTCAAACAGCAAAGAAACATCTGCACCCTTACTCAGGAGCAACTGCGGTCCGGAGAGTGATGAAAGCACAGGACGAGCAGGCCAACATGCAGCTGCGTACAAATCTTAGTTTCAGCTCCTTTTTTACGCTTTCCCCGTCCTTCCACCTCTCTACGCCACTCCTTACCCCACCAGGAGCAATTGCGGTCAGGCGAGTGGAGGAAAGCACAGGACGAGCAGGCCAACATGCAACGATTCTTTGGCTCCGTAGACTGGAGGTGGGTCCGTGCATTCTGTGAGTGGACGTGTGCATCAGTCCAATTTTGAGTCGACTCAAAAATAGACTCATTGAGCAGGCCAACATGCAACGATTCTTTGGCTCCGTTGACTGGAGGTGGGTCCGTGCATTCTGTGAGTGGACGTGTGATCAGTCCAATTTTGAGTCGACTCAAAAATAGACTCATTGAGCAGGCCAACATGCAACGATTCTTTGGCTCCGTTGACTGGAGGTGGGTCCGTGCATTCTGTGAGTGGACGTGTGATCAGTCCAATTTTGAGTCGACTCAAAAATAGACTCATTGAGCAGGCCAACATGCAACGATTCTTTGGCTCCGTTGACTGGAGGTGGGTCTGTGCATTCTGTGAGTGGACGTGTGATCAGTCCAATTTTGAGTCGACTCAAAAATAGACTCATTGAGCAGGCCAACATGCAATGATTCTTTGGCTCCGTTGACTGGAGGTGGCTCGCTCACCACGCTCTGTCTCTCACACCACGCTCTGTCTCTCACACCACGCTCTGTCTCTCACACCACGCTCTGTCTCTCACACCACGCTCTGTCTCTCACACCACGCTCTGTCTCTCTCGCAATCTCGTCTGCTGGTTGTTATCCCTTGCAGAGAGCAAAAGAAGCTTCGCATGGAAAAGAGAGTGAGTGCTGCCCTTCCCCTGTGATCGTAATGCCCTCACTCACGTGACGCGTCTCAAAACACTTCTTCATTCACGTGACGCCCACCACCACACATGGCGTGCCTACCTCTTTCTATTTTGAGATGTTTGTGTCACAAATGTGGGCAGTTATGCTAGTCAATTCCCTCGAGAATCATTTACTAGCAATTGCGCTGTCGCACTGCCTGCCCTACAGTCACTAACCACCACACATTTCGTGCTTATTATTCTTTTGGGGTTGAGTCTACTCTTTTGAGATTCGACATAACCAGTTGCATCGCACGTCATTTACCCCTGCCCTTGGCGTGCTTATCTCTTACTTGTTTGATGCCATAACCTCCAAAACCACCCACCACTTTACAAACATATTTCCGCTTCTTGCCCTTATCACCTTTGCGTCTGCTGTGCTCATGTCTTTTTGGCAACACACGATACTCAACCCCTCCCAACCGCTCTCAACCCCGCTCAATCCACCAGAAGCTGGAGCGCACAGTGCATGCAGGCAACAAGCTAGCAAAGCTGGAGGCAAAGGAGGCTGCACGGATGGACGCTTTCCGAGCTGCGGTGAGATTTCGCTGCCTCCCCTTATTGCTTTCCCCTCTTGTGATGACTGTTGAGACGTATTTTGAGACGACTTTTTTGGACCCGCCCTCCTGGGAGGAACAGCGCCAGGCAGAGTGATTTTTTAGGCGCCTCAAGAGTCACCTCGACTTTTTTTAGCCTGCCTTCCTGGGAGGAACAGCGCCAGGCAGGGTGGAGGGCAGCAGCCACTCGAGCCCTGGCATCCCTCCCACTTCTTTTCAACCCTCTCTACTCCCCTCCACTCCTCTCCACTCCTTCCCAGTCTTCATTTCCCTCCTGGCCCATCCCCCTCCCTCCTCTCACAGCTGAGCCTGCCCTCCTCAGAAGCACAGCGGCAGGCAGAATGGAGGGCTGCAGCCATGCAAGCCATGGCTGTTCCTCCCCCCCCTTCACCCATCTCCATCCCTTGCCACCACTTCCCCTCCCTTCTCTCCCGGCTGGGTCTGCCCTCATCAGAGGCACAGCGACAGGCGGAGTGGAGGGCAGCAGCCACTCAAGCCATGGCTGCTCTTTCCCTCCCTTCTCCCATCTCCACCCCTTTCCACCATTCTACTCTTGCCAACCCCTTTCCTCCCTCTCTCCCCCCTCCCAGCTGGGCCTGCCCTCGTCAGAGGCGCAACAGCAGGCAGAATGGAATGCAGCAGCCACGCAAGCGATGGACTCCGTTTCACTCCTTTTTACTCTTTTCCACTCCATTCCACCTCCTTCCCTGTCTTCTTTCCCCTCCTGGACCCCCTCTTTCTCTCAGTTGGGTCTGCCCTCGTCAGAGGCACAGCGGCAGGCAGAGTGGAGGGCAGCAGCCACACAAGCCATGGCTGCTGCTGACGCTGAAGCTGCTGCGGCTGCGTCTGCGGCTGCTGCTGCTGCTGCTTCTAGGGATGGTGGCTTGCGAAGAGTGAATAGCAAAGAGCGGAGATAGCAGATGCACATGTCATGGCTGCTGCTGCAGCTGCTGCTGCTGCTGCTGCTGTTGGTGGAGTGAGGAGTAAGCAAGGTCAACTGAGTCAACTGGGTCAACAGGGTTAACAGGGCCATCATGTAGAGCTGAACTGGCAGTGAGCAGCGCAGCAGCTGAAACATTGTAAAGAAGCTGGCTGTACGGTAATTGTTCTGCATTTTGGAATCTTGCCATCTCTAGTAGTCAGGGCCCAAAATAGGTTTTAGCTCACTCTTTCAAATCAGGGTGGCATCCCCTCCGTACCCTGACTGGTAGGGTGAAGTTTCGAGTACACTGATTGTAGCAGCCTAAAAGTTCAGGTACACTGATTTAGGCAGGGTAGTACATGGCATACACTGTTTCCTTCCTAAACATAAGTTTTAACTTCTGCAACAGTTACTTGGTCACTAAAGTGTTCTGCACTGCACCTACAAGCTTTACTACCAACCAAGTTAAATGAACCAAGCTACACAACACACTGGTCAATCAACATCTGCTGCACTAGCAACTGCCTCGTCTGTAAACTGCGCACTGCTGGCCTTCATGCCGGAGAAGTCTTTGGTGGATCGCCTGAGCTTCTCCCCGCGGAATATGGCGACCACCTCGTACCAGTCAATGTCGTACTGCAGGAGGGAGCACCGCATCAGGTGCTCAAGGCTTGTGTCGCCGAGGCTGCCGCGGTCCCACGTCTTGATCAGGTTCTGCTTGCTGAAGCCGCGCTCACATTCAACCGTGCTAAGTGGTAGCACGGCGACAGACTGCCACATCCGGACGATGTTGGGGAACGACGCACGCCACGCCTCGTCGCGCAGCATGTTCCCCAGCGCCTGATGAAACTCCTCGCCGTTGTGCTGGGAGAACATGGTCGAGGTAAGCATCCAGAGCTTCTGGCCGGCACGCTTGTAGTCGAACCCTGGTAGTGCGGAAGGGGATGATCATTGGCATACGCTCACACATACGGGTAGGATTGGGAGGCATTAGTCCACAATACAGGGCCGGGTGATGAGTAGCAAATAGCGCGATCGGAAACAAGCTGGTCCAAAGCTGTTTACGCAAGTCAATGACCAATACCCCGCCCTTCTAACAAACACGCTTACCAGGCAGCTTGTGGTTGTACAGCTTGTGGAGCTGGCCAAGCCACTTCCTGAAGGACTCCAGGCGCTGTGTGTCGTCGGACACATACAACGCCGTACGAAACAGCTTGGCGCCTTCGAGGAGGCTGAGGTCGCGCATGCGCCACTCCAGCTCCGAGTCCACCTTGCGGATGAACTTGAGTGAAAGCTCGAAGCAGGCGGTTACATCACCTTCTGTCTCATGGCCTGGCAGGGGGCGTTCGTGCAGGGCGAATTCGAAGGAGACGGCGTTGCCGTCCGCGTCCACGCCTTCCGCTTTCATCTGCCGCTTATCCATCTTCTGGTGGGCCTTGATGAAGTCAGGCAACTGCATCTTCTCACCGCTGCCAAAAACGTGACCAGGGGACCTGTCGAAGTAGCGCGTCTTCAGGCGCATCCGCGTCTGTTGTACAAGGTGCGCCACGAGGGTGACGTCCACCTGCACACACAAAAGACATGCGGTCAGAAAGAGCATTGTGGGCGTACGTGTAAATACAACTGTGCTTGTTAGCACGTTACCTGACGTTGCTGAAAGCGCAGATTTAGCTGGTTGAGCTCCCAGAGCACATCCGCGAGGAAGCGGATGAGCCAGTGGAACTTGAACGAGGTGACTACCTCGTACAAGTCCTTCTTGTAGTCCTTCAGCACGACGATGGCGGTAGGCAGAACGTCTAGGAAGCGCTGGACCGCCTCGCCACGGGAGAGCCAGCGCACATCGTTTATGCCCTGCGCCTCCAGATTCGTCTGGCAGTAGACGCGCTGGAGATTTTGAAACTTGGTGTAGTCCACGCTGCTGCGGCCGATGTGCTCGGAGAAGGCACGCACCACGTCGTCCACCATGCCGAGCTCGGGGACTGCCTCCGCCGCATCCTTAGCAGCCAATGCCTCCCTGCGCATTCAACATAAGCATGTTAGTAAGGTTTGCGCGTCACTGATCCGGTGCTGGAAAACACTCAGACTCCAACATGCGTACCTGTGAGCGACGCAATGAGTTGAAGCCAGGTGTGGTATGCGCAGTCGCAGCCTCGCGACTAGACCGTTGTTCTTGCCGGTCATGACACCCGCCCCGTCTGTAGATATTCCAGAAATCCTCTGGAGATCCAACCCGATTCCTGTAAGGTACTGCACAACAGCAGAGGTTAGGGAGGCCGCATCGGCACGGTCCACGGTAATGAGAGTTAAAAACTCCGTTACCGGAGTTACCCCTTTGAAGAACGTCGCATACAGTATCAGGTGCTTGCCATTCACCCGGTCGGTGCTCTCATCCAGAAGAATCCCTATGTATGGGGATTCCAGCAGGTGGCCGCGTTGAGTCTCTTGAAGGTAAGTGGCGGTTGCGCGCAGCATCTCTTTGAATCCGTAGCTGTGAGGACAACACGCATGGCACACGAACACAAGTAGCATTAGCATCTGATCAGCTTGAGTCGCGGCCCAAACACAAGCGCCACGAAATCGCACTTACTCGGTGTAGTAGGCGCCGTACCCTCCAGACGGTGGAAGGTCCGGCAGTCCTTCCTTAGCAAGAAACCAGCACAAGGGAACAAACATGGCTATTGGCGCGTCAGCCTTGCAGATGAACAGCGCGATGTGGAGGCAGCGGATGATTCTGTCAGAGTGCCACTGGTGATCCCCGATTGATCCTAGGGAAGGGTTACAGGCATGTTGGCCTGGGGGGTTATGGGCGCACTCACCCGCTATATAAACAAGCCCTTTTATCCCAGTGGTTAGTGACTGGGATTCTGACATGGTATCAGAGCGAAGGTCTCGGGTTCGAATCCCGGTGTGTGCACTTCGGGCATCCCAGTGCGGGGGGGTGTCAGAGTGCCACTGGTGATCCCCGATTGATCCTAGGGAAGGGTTACAGGCATGTTGGCCTGGGGGGTTATGGGCGCACTCACCCGCTATATAAACAAGCCCTTTTATCCCAGTGGTTAGTGACTGGGATTCTGACAGGATGATGTGCCGTGTAGCTGCATCAGTGCTCTGCCACCTTGTTAGTGTGGCTTGCTTCGCCTTCTCCGCGTCTGCTTTGGCCTCGTTGTCCAAGGCCTGCTTGTGGGCTCTGCTTGATGTGTGCGCGCGGATGCTCCCTAGCTGCATGTCTCGCGCACCCTCACCTCTGACGCCGTAGGCAGTGTGCGCGTTCGGATCCCCGTGCTTGATGCAGATGGCACATTTCAGTGAAGGCCTGCCGTTAGTCATGCGCATTAAGCGCAACCAACTGAATTTCTTTGACCATTGCGAATCGAAAGTCGTTTTTACCAACTCATACTCAGCCTCTGCAGAAGCGGTAGGAGGCTTCGGCTGAGCAGGAGCAGCACGGCGTGGCGGTGATGCCGCTTGTCGTGGAGGAGGGGCGCCCCAGAGCCTCTGCTGCTTGTATGTCACGCCGACACGCTGTCGCTTCACGGGCGCGGAGCTAATTGTGGACGGGGCTGCAGTGGCCGGCTTCGACGGGCCTTCGCCGCCATCGGGAACAAGCTCGAGAGACGGGTGTGGCTCCCGGGACTTTGGCGAGGCCGAACGCTCGCACGGGAAAACGGTGCCGACAAGACATTCAGGGGATGGCTCACGCGCAGGCTGAGAGATAGGGAAGCTATAGTTTTCAGCCAGCCGAGGTAACACACCGAGAACGGAGAGACCGTTCCTGGTGCTACCAGGCGGATCAGGCTCAGATGCAGGCATTCGGTAGAACAAACGAGAGTGAAACGAGAGAATGGCCAGAGCCTGAGAGACCCCTCGGGAATCACAAAGCCCAAGGCGCCTCAGGCCGCAAGGTTCCCTCGCTGGTAGGAAACTGCATGGCAATGGCTGCAAGGCCACAATGACTGCCAGGTGGTGGAAACGACAGCACGTACCCCACCTGGCGCGCAATTTAGCTCCGTTGGCAGTGCGCGATGTTGCGTGACGCACGGTAACTGGGTGCGTTGGCTTCAATGTTGCTCAACGGACCAATCGTAGCTGTGCGGTGCCATCCGCATTGAATGTACGTTGGCGCGCCTGTGGGTGTATCCAACAAATGGTCCAGTGGGACCGTGGAGGAATTCGTCGTGGCGCGGACTGTGGCGGAATCCGCGGTATGGGAAAGTTTCGGTAAAAGGGTAGTTGAACCTCTACCCTGATACAGTCAGTGTAATTGGAAAAGCTTCAAGAGTACTTTTACGCGTATTCTGATTGCACTAGGGTAAAAATTTGCATACCCTGATTTGAAAAGGGTAACTGCCAAAAAGTGGCCTATGAGCAGGGCAAAAAGGGTAAAATACCCTTGAAATTTGGGGCCTGCTAGTAGTTTTGTTCGAGAAAAATATACTGCTGCAAATAATCATTTTCCCACATCGTGTAAGGAGATAATAATACAGTAAAGTATTAGGTGGCAATCATAATGTGTTACGGCATCAATTGTGCTCAGGGTGAAAGAAAAAGGCAGTCCAGGTTAGTCTTCTTTGCGCTTGCTCACATCACCATTGCCGCCACCATCAGAGATTGACCTTCTCACAAAGTACGCAGACAACGAGGACGAAATCTTCCCATGAAGACTACCTCTAGAAGCAAAAGATCGCGGTGGGGAGGTTGTAAAGAAAGCAACGGAGGACGAGAAGGGCATTGCGCAGGGTGAGCCAGGGGAGTTGTCATGTGAGAGAGTTGTTGATGCCACGGGAAGGGAGTCATGAAAGTTGACCGAATCCCGAGGAGAAGACAAAAATGCTGATCCAGGTTTTCCCAGACCTCGCGCTGCTGCTAGCCCTGGTTCCACAACCAGCCCTGTGTCCGAACCTCTTCTCGAGCCTGCCTCTCCTTGCTTCCCCTGACATGAGCTGCTTTTCCGCGCTCCCCTACCACCCAGTCCTCCTCTCCCCTTCCTGCCTGAATCCCTCCTCTCCTCCCTTCTCTCCTCTCTGCCTCCCCTCCCTCCGAGCCCTGTTTCTCGATACACCTGTCCTCCCGCTCCTCCCGATCCTGACTTCCCCAGAATCCGTAGCCGTGAAAACCATCCTTGAAACGGACTCAAACGGACGTGATTAAAACGAAGGTGTTTCACGAACCACAGCCACCGGCCGGGGTTTCTGCCGGCCGCCTGGACGGCCGCGGCGAACGCGAACACCTTAAAGGGTCCGTCTATAAAGGAGATGAACGAGCGGTAGTGGGAGAAGGCGCAGGACCAGCGGTAGCCGCAGAACGGGAGCGCTGCAAGCATGATAAGCAGCTGGATGCCTGAACCGAGGATGAGTATAGCGAGTATGGACGCCGCGAGTTGACTGGACCAATCATGGTGACGGTGGCGGGTGTGATTGTACGGGGGGTGTGTTGGCTGGGCGGTAGGTTGAGAGGAAGACCTCGTTACTGCCACTGCGCATGCGGCGGGAAAGAGGGGAGGGAGAGGAGACGCGGGGTGCGGGTGTGTGTTGGGGGAGGGATGGGGAGGGGAAGGGGGAAGGAAAGGGGGTGAGAAGAGGGATCATGTAGATATCGGTCGAGTCGGAGGCAAGAGCCTCAGCATGAACACGCGTGTCGTCTCAGCTACTACTTAAGGAAACGCGAAGAGTCGCAGTTTTTTATCTTAATAAGTTAAGCTGTCCGTATCTTATCCTACATCGAGGGTAAGCGACTGTCGACGGAGATTACGACCTCCGGCTGACGGTCCAACTGTCGAGGCGACTCGGAAAACGGCACGACTAGACTACAGCTCTGTAGCAGCCCAGAAAGACCACCAATCAGAGACACGACAATCGGAACGTTAGCGACACGCACCTCGCCAGTGGTACGTCCCCGATTGTATCACATCCGATTCAGTCAACACGAGCGGTGCACCCTGCGAGGCCTTGTCGCCGAGCACGAGACAGCCCGGCGACCCCGTGAGTCGCTCCAACGCGTCGCATACCTCGCCGGCCGGCTTGCCGCCTAGGAACTGCGCGAGAACAGCGTCGGAGCGCGCATCGCGGACGACTATGGCTGTGGGAAGCGGTAGCACTCCCGCTGCTGCCATGCAATACTGGTGCCTTCACCTACCAGAAAAAGTGTGAAGAAAAGAAAAATATATAACATTTTATTAATTTTTTTTTTCGAATCCGGATATCGGCCTATTAGCTCAGCTGGTTAGAGCGTCGTGCTAATAACGCGAAGGTCACAGGTTCGAGACCTGTATGGGCCAGTTTGAATCCTACCATTTTTATATTTTATGGCATGCTTCTGTTATGAATGAACTTGCAGAGTGCGCAGTAAAACGAATATCGAGAATGAACTGATTACTGAATGACGATACAATGAGAAAGGCACGACTAAATAGGGGAAATCCTAGCTAGGCGAAGAGGTAGGGCGGTGATGGTTGCGATTGGTGCGGAGCCGACTCGGGAGTGGTTCGGTGCGACGAATTAGGCAAGGCAGGTTCGTCGCGACACCCTCGGGATGTACTCGCTAAAGTGCGAGTACAGTAAGGAATTGTAATTCCTTACACTCTCCCACCTTCCAAAGAAGGCAGCCCTGTACCGAAACAAGCCCCACACTAGCGAGGATTTCGAAGATCTCCTCTTCAGCTGAATCCGACGGCTGAAATCCCTTGGGCGAATTTGAAATAGAGGTTGGAATGGAGGCCGTTGATGCAGTCAGATTTCGATCTGACGGTCGAAGATGAAGTGGCCCAAATGAATTGGAAGGTTGAAATGTGGGCCGTAGATTCGATTGCTGTAGATCCGACGGTCGAAGCAGATGCGATTTTGGAGGGAACCTGCTGACGCGAAATTCAATCGCGAAGAGTCAGAAACCGTCGATCGTCTGATTTTGGGGATTCCACGACGCATGAATGACAATGAAAATGCCAAGGCTGCCATGGCTGCCTGACACTTGCCTGACAAGCACATTACGTGAAGCCTGGCCACCTGATGGCTTTAATTTCACCAGCATTGTACTCGTTACATCCTTACGAAGCAGCCTATATACTTTTTATGTTCATCATGCGAACATTATATCGACTGCTCTAGGGAGTATCTCACTGGTGCAAGCAACTAAGTCCAAGGTCCGCGCGGGCTTCTCAAGGCGCTCTGCTGGCACTCACGAACAACAACCAAGGACTAACGTCACTGGACATCAGGATTACGTCCAAGGACGCGATCCTGAAGCTCTATCCTCGGCTTTCCATCACCTAAGTTACGAGCACTTGTCAGCTGTCTACGCTAACAATGACAATGGCAGGCTATATATCAGTACTGTGCTCAGACCATCGGCATATATTCTTCAACAGCTCGTCAGCTCAGAGCTTCTGCCGTTTTTGGTTCATCATCGCACGATGCCGCCGAAAGGATCCCGCGTTAAGCCCGCCGTTGAAGTGCCGCCGCCTGAAATCACAATGGGTGACCCTGATGCTGCATCCAAGCAGACGGCAAACAGCAAGTCAGACATTGAGAAGAATCTGCCATCTGAGGCTGAAGTCACTGTGGGAAGCTCGGGATTATCCATTGAGGATAAGCTGAAGGCGCTGGCTACGGTCGTACCTGATGACCTTTATTGAGGACGACTCTGATGAGGAGCTGGAAATCGACAATGAAAAAGGAACGGCGTCGCATCTACGGTTCACGGCGATACTGCTCTTCCCGGTCATTCCGTCTCATGAGATCGCCTCTGTTATTATTACCGTCAGGATGCTGATGAAGCGTGTTTGGTCGCATATCTTTACTGACGGTGTTCTTACCACAGTGAAGTTTCAGGAGCTGTTACCTGCGTACGTCGCGAAGTCACGTCACTGCAGACTCCAGGTCTCCTTCCTACAAGAAGCAGACGCGACCAATGTCAAGCAGATGATTGTGGACCATAAGCGACCGAATGGCTTGACTATTCACTGTTTCTGGCTCCACCAGGAAGATCCGGCTTACGTTCGTACAAAGGCGGCCAACCCGCAGATGCTGGAAGTCTATTTTAAGGGTGTACCTGCTGACATTCCGCCGGAACTGGTCAAGGATGTGAAAGTTCACCAGCTGAAAGTTCACAAACGGTCCGCGTTCAGCGAGGGTCTCTGCTTCCACCGTGTGCTGCATCCGGTCACTGGCGCAGACACTGACAAGATCAAGGGTTTGGTGATCCCGCACGCGGGGGACAAGCATCGTTGGCGTCACGAGTTTCGTCATCAGCTGCTTGGTGGGACGACGCTGCTAGCCCACTACCCCTTGCTATCCTGCACGCTCTGTGGCGGACATCACTATGATAAGTTTCATGATGTCTATGTCACGGAGCGTCAGAATAACATAGGGAAGTGGAGTCTCACAGTGGGTCGGGTACACAGGATTAACGGTAACAGCCTCTTACAGTTTGGTTGTCGGGGTTGCTCGTGCTGTTTCTTACCTTCCTCGGTTTCTGACCTCTCGCTTGCCTCTCGCAGCTGCTTCTCTCCGCACTTCTCCGCTTGTCACCCCTCTCCTCATGGATGTGGCCTTTGTTCTGATTTCGATGGGGAGCAACAGGGAGGAGTGGCTTTGCACCCAAGCCAGCTGCGGAAAGGCGCACGGCAAATCCTTCATGACTGCTGCGGACCACGTCACCTCGGCAAGCCACCTGCTGGGGTTAGAGAAGCTGGGTGCTGCCACTCGTCTCTCCCTCGAGAAGCTGAACCTGAACACCATCCGCAAGGAGTACGGGATCTAAGTGTTGATCAGGATCGGTTGACCAGGATTTCTTCAACTGTAGCCGTTGTTTGTTCCGTCATAGCCGTTGCATGTTTCACCAGCCTGTGGATGAGGGGAGGCTATCAAGCAGTGATTAAATGAGTACAAAAAATCTTCTCACAGTAGCAGGCCTGAATGTGAACGGCCTGGGAGACGGGAACAAGCAACAGCGTACGAGGAACTGGATCAGACAAGCCGCTGATATCACTATACTCTCAGACTCTAGACTAGCAGATGACCACCCTTACTGGACCTCTCTCAAACAGCCTAGGACTTTAGTAGCCTCGCCAACTGCCAAAGCCGGAGGTGTTGCGCCGATCTGCCGCAGACAAGGATTATCACTTCATAACATTCTGATTCACTCGTCAGGCCGACTGATCAAAGCGGACGTCCAGCTTGACACTTTCCACATCACCTTAGTAGCAGTGTACTTTCCGGCGGACGTGACGGACCGGAAAACCTTCATCCGCCGGGTCCTGGGCCCAGTGGTAGACGGTGTACCACCCGGCGCTTACCTGCTTGTCCTCGGGGATCTGAATCTGGTGGAGGATCCGCTGCTGGACAGGACCTCCAGGAAAGGGACGACCAAAGAGAATGACGAGTTGTTTGGACCAGCGCTGCAGTGCTTTCCGTTTATCGGATGCCTTCCGTGTTCTGCATCCTTTCAAACGGGAGTTCACTTTCTACTCACATGCCTGCCAGACCAGCTCGCGCATTGATCGCGCACTCATCTCGCAGTCGCTGCTATCGCATGTTGAGTTCGCCTCCCACATCATGCCTGCTGACCCAATCTCGGATCACAGCTTCGCGATTAAGGTGGCCTTCAGGATGAGCACGCAGGTGCAGACGGGACCGGGCCTCTGGAGGCTCCCTGCATACATGGTGGGGAGACCGGGTGTCAGAAAGGTGATCGAAAGGGTGTCGAACCAGATGGAGGAATCAGGTGACAACTACGAGCTGCTAATCACGAGACTGAACTAGGGCTCAAGGCTTACGCCAGAGAGGAGAGAAAGAGGGTCCGCGCCACGATGACCTTCCTTCAACAGGCGGTTGCTGATCTGAAACAGGCGTGGCTGGGCGACCCGAGCTGTGTCCGGTTGAAAGACCTGCTGAGCGAGAGGGAGCTCCAACTGAGAAGTTATCAGCAGTCGCGGCAGGAGAGACTACACGTGATGGCCGGAATGAAGGAGGCGACGTTGGGGGAGGTAGCATCACCTTTCCTATCTGCGAGGATTAAGGGCCGGAAGGAGCGCACGCAAATCACGGAGTTAAACGTGGGAGGCACAATGGTCAGCGACAATAAAGGCATTTTGGGTGCAGCTTCGCAGTACTACCGGCAGCTGTTTGGAACGGACAGACAGACGGTCTTATCTGAGTGGGAACCCTCGGCGGACAGAAGACTGTCGTCAGCAGCGGCGGAGTCGTTGTCTGCCAAATGGTCGGAGGAGGAGGTTAAGAGCGCGTTTCAGTCGATGACGAATAATAAGGCTCTTGGCCGGGACGGCTTGCCAAAGGAGCTCTTCGAAGCACATTGGGACATCCTGGGCAAACACTTCATGTCGCTGGTGAAGAGTTTCTCGGACACGGCGTCCCTCCCAGCCTCCACAAAAGACGCGGTGACCATCCTACTGCATAAGAAAGGGGGAAGAGATCAGCTGGAGAACTACCGTCCAATCGCATTGCTCAGCTTCACCTATAAAGTGATAGCGCGTGTGGTAGCGGACAGGATGAAAACAGTGCTCTCGGAGGTAGTCTCACCGGAGCAGTTTGGCTTCTTACCTGGGAAGAGGTTGTCAGACGCTGTGGGGCTAGTGGCGGATATTATCGAAGCGGCCAAAAATAAAGATAAAGACTGGTACCTCCTGCTCGTCGATTTTAGGAAGGCCTTCGACTCGGTATCGCGGGGATTCCTGTTTACGGTGCTGGAGAAGATGGGTTTTCCTCCTCGCTTTGTCGGATGGATTCGGGACCTGCATGAGAACACACGGACAAGTCTGTTGGTTAACGGTTGGATTGGCGAAGCGGTTGAAGTGGTCTCGGGGGTGCGTCAGGGTTGCCCTCTAGCACCTTACCTGTTTTTGTGCGCGGTGGAACCGCTGGCGCAGGAAGCGGCGAACCGGAGGATTGGTATTTCCGAGGGTGATCAGCGGTTGGCGTATCTTGGTTACGCCGATGATACAACTCTCATCCTGGAGGGGGAGGAGCAGATTGCAGCGGCAGAGAAGCTGTTAGAAGAGTTTGCAGGGGAGTCAGGTCTCACTACTAACAAGGAGAAGTCAGTTGTCTTACCACTGGGGTCGAATCTGGGCAGGCAGCCCTGGAAGACCGATGGTTT